ATATAAAAACTACTCTGCAAAATTTACATAAAATCATGAATAAATTACACGACCACAAACTAGCCATTCCCACCATAGCAGCGGGTCTAGACAAACGAAATTGGTCCATTATAAAACAAATGATATATTCCGAATTCAAAAATTGTAACATAGAATTAATTATTTGTTATAAAACATTAACTGACATAACAAACAGTTGGAGAACACGCGAACATGAAAAAATTATCAATTTAATACATGACCATTATTTCTTTGAAAAAGTAATCAAGGGTGTAAACAACATTAACGATAATTACGAAAACTTACGACTTAACAACTATAATATTAATAATAAAATGAATAATAAAAATAATGATAAAATAAGATTATTCCCACATAGCAATCAGAAAACGAACCATACCGGATATAACAATAAAAATAATGATGCATTAGACACAACTTCTAATCATAAGTATAATATCGATAATAATGATTATAATGAAATAAACATAATATTTAATAATTACAAACCCGGCGAAAATGTTAAAGGAGATGGAAATTGTGGTCTCTATGCCATATGTAATGCCTTAAATGACAATAAAGATAATAGGATAACCTCCATAGGTCAACTTTTAGAGCTATTACAGTTATCAGACCTCCCAGGTCACTGGTTTTCGGATAATGAATTAGCCTCTATTGCAAACTATTATAATCACAACACTTATATATTTGACGAAAACACTAAAACGGCTATTATTTATCGTGATAAAAATATAAAAAGACCACAGATCGTTCTTTACAATACAAATAATACACACTGGATCCCCGGTGTTAAATCTATTAAACCATCATTCAAAATACCAAACAACTATATTGAAATAAACGATATTACACCATTAGAACAAATAATTACAAAAATAAAACAAGAATACAAATTTGTAAGCAAATCTAATATTATAGATAACGAATTAAAAAACATTGAACAAATCCAAATTAAAAAGACGCATAGCAGTAATAAGTCAATTACCACTAACTCCAATCTAATAGACAACAAAGAAATACTATATGACAATGAAAATACTCCAATTAACATATCCCATGAATTAAATATATCACAGCATAAACAGGCTATACAATTATTAAAAAAATACTTACATTTATTTACATCAGACGCATCCAATATAAAATCAGCAAATGTAAAACCGTGCGAGATAAAGTTGAAACCTAACTACAAAGACCCAAAATTTCATGCCCCCCATAGAGTATCTCCACAACAAAGAGACGAACTCAAAACACAATTAGATAAATTAAATAAAGCCGGTATTATTCGTCCAATAATATCTAAATTTGCAGCACCAGCCTTTTTAGTCAAGAAAAAGGAAAAGGGTTCATACAGACTAGTAGTATCCTACAAAGAACTAAATGAAAGAGTCGAGACAGACCAATATCCCATACCCAGAACTTCTGACCTATTAAGAGCTCTAGAAGGAGCTACATATTTTACCTCTTTAGATTTAAATAGTGGTTTTTTCCAACTTCCTGTTAGAGAGGAAGACCAACATAAGTTAGCTTTTACATCGGTTCACGGGCTAATGACTTTTACCAGATTACCTCAAGGTTTTAAAAATAGTAGTGCTATTTTTCAAAGAACTTTAAATGAGGCTTTTTCTGCACTATTATACAAATCTATAGTTATTTACATTGACGATCTCGCCTCGTACGGAAAAAATTTCAATGAAGCACTTGTAAATTTGGAAAAAGCACTTAAAATAATTGATTTATTAAACTTTTCTCTAAAAACAACTAAATGTCATTTTTTCAATAACAAAATACAATTACTTGGTCACATAATATCTCGAGACGGTACAAAACCCACTGATACTAACACAAAAGCAATTACTGAATTCAAACAACCGAAAACTCAGAAAGATGTTAGGTCATTCATAGGTATGTGTTCATATTACAGAAAACACGTAAAAGATTTTGCGAAAATAGCTCACCCACTCACTGAATTGACTAAGGGGGACACTAAAAAAATTATATGGAACGATGAACACGAACAATCCTTTAATCAGTTAAAACACATTTTAACTTCTAAACCAGTACTAAACCATTTTAATGACGAAAAAGAAGTTTACTTAACTATAGACGCTTCGTTATTAGGTGTAGGAGCTTGCCTTGAACAATGCGATAAAAATAACATACTACGTCCAATTGGATACGCCTCTAGAAAATTATTAAAAAACGAAAAAACTTACTCGTCCACAACATTGTAATGATATGCTATTTAAGCTATCATACATTATGTAAAATAAAATATTATGTAATGTTAATAAATCAAACAATTAATAACAGGAATGATAGTAAAACATTTACATCCGATTCCATTCTTTTTTATTATCAAATAACATATATTTTAGTACGATATTTACTCATCGTAAGGAGATAATACTTAAGCTATCATATATAATTAAAATAAATTATATAATCAATATTGTAAAATAATTATAATAATTTGTAGTCATTAATTATTAGATTAAGTTGTTAGTATTAACTAAATTAAGATAGCACATTTACACACGCACACACACATATTTCTCCAGTTATAAGGAGGCCGGCCACTTCCAATAAACCCACAGTGTATGTATTGTTCCCGTTGCTTTTGGACAGATGATCACAAGCGAGTGTAAAAGACTACGCAGAGATTCTGACAAAAGCACGGGAACCTAGAAAAGTGCTTTATATTTTAAAAAAAAAATTAATAAATAAAAAACAATTGTTACATTAAAAATCTTTTTATTCACTACGGTCACCTTTGTCAAATTCAACATATCAATTTGCCGCCTGAAGAAGAAAGGTAATCAAATTTATAATTAATTTATACGTGTAAATCGATTTTACATAACTAGGCACTCCCCGCCTTATTCTTGAATTACTACAATATTTTATATTATGATTGGAGCAAAGAAACTTATTGTTTTTTTTTTTTTCTGTGGACAATTTTTCTACTAGCAATTTTGTTCCAACTTCAAATGATAGCAATTTTTCTAAAAAGAAATTTCACTGGAAAGGTATTTTAGAAAGGTAGTTTTTCTATTTTCACCGGATTTTTCTCAACAAATGTGAAAAACTGAGAAAAAAAACATAGGAAATCGGTACAACATTAAACAAATATTATTAATGAAAATATATAGAGCTTACTTAATTATTTTGCTACAATATTTTATATATGTTGTTGATAAAGCACCACTATCAATTGAACACCGTTCGGAATCGTTTTTTCGTAAGCAATGGTTTATCGTTGCTCACAGGTATACATTAAATTACCTTTAACAGCTGCTGCACTCGTCCTCATTATCCTATTACGTCTTTTTGTTATTCATAATGTCAATAATTTTTCATATTGGTAAAAATGTATTATAATTTGATAGTTATTAAGAAGATATGAATGATATCACGTAGTCGTCGTCTCCATGGTCGTATAGTATGGTTGTTTTTATATTTTACTCAAAATAATCCTAGGACTCGATTAGTATACAGCGATTTCAACCATACGACGTTAGGTTCATGTGTGTTTAATTTTACGATCGTCTTCAGCGATGTTCCCCCCCCCCATAAACCGGCCGTTTGATTTCTTCGTTTTTAAAGTCGCGCGTTTTCCAGTTTTTGAAAAATCAACCTACTTTCGATCACATTAGAGATGAGAAAAAAAAATGCTATCGATCAAAGTCTCTCGCAAAAAACAGATTCGAAACTATACAGACGTTTCAGCTGTTCGATAAAAGCGATTTGGATCTCACGAGAGGGCGAAAAATTTGAAATTTATCGTAATATGTATTTCAATATACGGTCGATCACCCTCCGATAACGGAATTTAAATGCACTTGAGGTCATCCGGCAGGAACATTCAATGTTAACTGAAAACGTGAACACGCTGTATACATTATGGGTATATAATATTAACGAGATATCAAACGTTTTAAGTTTTGTTTAGACACGCGCACACACGAGCACACACACACACACACGTACAAAGTACACACGTAATAATATATACGTCATATTATTTAAACAATTTCGAAGGCTTCAGCCGATTTTTAAGGCGAAACGAAAAAATATCATTTCATCAATTGTCGGGCTTTCGAAACGGATCCGCGTCTAGCGACAATATTAGTACAAATGTGAGGTACATATATTATTGAGTATAGGTTTATAATATATGTTTCGCAAACACGAACGAACGAGCGATTATATTTCCTTACTCGTCGTCGTCGTCGATATCGAATATTTCGTATTTATTCGTTCCGCGGAAATGACGTAATATAATACGTCTAAACGTATAGTATTGAACGAGTCTTCTGTAATATGACGAGTAGAAACCATCATATTTTCGCATTCAGTGCGAGGTATTCGTCCGAGTGTAGCGAAAAAACTATAAGCGCATATAGTGCAGACGTACAACGATTACCGTAACAATCTTTTTTGGGAATAATCTCCGAGTTTGAGAATTTTCTTTTCTGCCGGTTTTTTTTTTTTTTTTTGTTTATCTATATAGGCACGTCTTAAAAAGAGAATATTACATTTTTTTTTATTCTGAGGTTACGGATTTAATTACTATAGCTTCATACCCATACCGCCGACATTCACAAACGCTTTTATACGAGTACGACATTACGCTGCTAAACGCTAAAAAACTCATTTCACCCAACCTACCGTACGGTACTCGCATAGTATTTCTAAACTGGAAGTTTAGGCTTGTATGATGGCATTCACGCCTTAGGCGTTTTATTAAAGTATCTACATAGTAAAATAAACCAGAACTATTACGCTATATAACTTTCCGCGTCGAAAATGTTAAAGAATAGCGGTCATTAATGCTATTTAGAAGTTCAAGTGTTTCAACTTTTATTCTTATTCATTGATAATAATAACATTTTCTTATCTACAGGTATGATACAGGTACCACGCATGGACACATGGATCGTCCTTAGGAAGCTCGGTATTTGACATTTTATTTTTTACGATCGGTAACTCTGACCGTAGGAGGAAAAATTAGTTATTATCAAATGCAGGAGAATGGCTTTCGTCCGGAATGTATAAAACCACCGATAACGTCATTATTGCTGGTAATATTTTTCGTTGAAAAAGAAAATATGAAAATATTTTCTTCTCACATCACTATATATACCCGTGTATATGATCGTTTAAACGTGTCCCCTCTCCTTCCGGAAACATTTTTTCGATTTGAAAAAAGCTCAGATTGTTTTCGCGTTGTATCTTGACAAATTTCCGCCCGGTGAAATTTTACTTGAAAAACATTTTAAGTTTCCAAAAACGCACCACTCCGCTTCTCTAAAACGGTTTAGACTATACAATTAAAAATAACTACCCAGCTAAAATAATCAATATAATAATAATGATGTAAATTTAAAATCACTTTTTTAATCCGATTTATTAAAAATACTTGTCAAAAAACTCAAAAAACAAAAGGCGGACGAACAAACGATAATAAATAATATACATAGATCGGATTGCGCAAAACAAAAATATATTCTATCGGCTTTATAATTATTGTATATTTCGCTTATACACAAGAACCGTAACTCAAAAAACGCTAATTCTGAGTCGATTTTCAAAATAAAGTATTTTAAATGCGTACTTTTATCGTTTTCCCAGCGAAAATAATTTACTGCTTTGCTCAATAGTTACCATCACTCATCAACGCTTTATTTACGAGGGGGGGGGGGGGGAGAAAAATCAACACAATTTTTCTTATATTAGTCCATGGGTTCGATATAATGTAGATCTTAGTCTAAATTGTGTTAATTCAACTCCCCTCTACTTAAAAACAAACCGTAAAAAATAATTTCGATCCTCAAAATAATATTTTATACTTAATTACACGAAAAATCGTTAATAAAACTATACTGCACGGTGTATTGCGTTTTGTAACCGTAACCTTGTAACCGAGTTACAATTTTCGTGCATGTGTTGAACGAATATAGTCGATAATGGTTAAAAACACGGTGCAAACATCTTTCAATGGACCGTGTTTTTGATCATTTTGAATATTGAATTTATACACGAGTTTAACCGTGCATTTTGAGTTTAAATTTCGGTGTTATAATGTTTTATATTGTACGATAGAGCAAATTTTCAAAATACATTTTTGCGAGATATATTATGAGATTTAAACTCTGACCTGTCTATATCCTACCTATTCAAAACATTATATTCTACTTATGCGCCACAATATCAAATATTTTATTGATCGCGAAAGAATCTTTGAATCTTTCATATTTAAACATTTTATGTTATCTATATCATTTTTAGAGACAGTTTCAAGCACCACGATGTGACACCACCCCATAAAAAATATTTATACGCACTCTGTGCACCACCCAAATACCATCACCACGGTCCACCACCATCGCATTCCCCTATTTTATTCCCTCGGCCTAAACAAGTACACTCACGATGTATTCGAAAACGATCACGAGTGGCATGAGTGTCCCATTAAGTAGCACCCGAAAATATAATGCTCGCTACAGTTCTATAGCCGGAAACAAATTCAAGGGAGGTTAGGGAGGCACCGATCATTTTTGTTATTAGTTATAATTTTTAAGACGATAAAATACACAAAAATAACCAATAAATAATACAATTTCGAGCGGAGGGAACGTGCCTCCGTTACAGCACTTATCAGAACCTCTTTTTTTTCTTTTTCTTTTTTTTTGAACCGTCCAATATACCCGCCACCTGGAAATACCGTTGAATGGTACTTCTGGTGGAAACTTCTATAGTGAAAATCGTATTTGTTCGTAAAAACCAGCATTATTAATTAGCAGTTCAGCGTCCGTTGTCACGACGTCGACGACAAACGGTTATAAATACTTAATATTTTAAAACACCTATAGGTATGTTATAAACGGCTGCAGTCTCTTAACTCGATTGCGACGGCGTTGAGAAATAATTGTCCGTGAACCGTTTAATCACTGTCTGTGCGTTTTCTCGATACCGTTCAATGTCAGAAACGCCGACTTTGAACCACGATAAAAATGTTCGGACCCAGAGACGTCACAGCGAAACCCGTCACATTATATCATCGAACCGCATTCGTTTTTCCAACGTGCGGTTCTCACGCCGCTGCAGTGTCTAATACGTAAACCGTTTAAAAACCGCTGTGTTCGTACAACGTAACCGCGACATTGAACGCGTACAATAATTAATTCTGCTCGGGTCCGTGTATATTGTCTGGTGAGCTAAACGCCGGCATACGTAAAACCAACAACGATATGTACGGTTATTTACGCCGCGTCGCGACGATTTGTCGAAAAATGAAATATTAATTCGTCCAGAAAAAAAAAAAAACTTACAATTTATTAGTACAGATACGTATATATATATTATATTTCGGTGAAAGGCGCGATCCGTCTCGCGGGAGAAATCTGTAGAAACGGGCGCCGCTGCCGCCGTCGTACGCACGCACTACTCGGGAGGTATTGGTTCGGTTGACCGTACGCGACCACCGAGAGGACCGGGAGGACGGCGTGGTTCCGATCGGACCTACGTTTAAAATACGGCGCGACCGAATACGATTTTTCGATCAGATTTTTTTTTTTTTTTTTTATTTTTTTAAACCGATATTACGCGTCAACCGTTCATCTGGCGCACAAACGCCGCCCGGATGTTAAAATATTAATCAACGAATTTCCGCAGATACGAAATTTTAGGTCGTCGGATCAGTCGAACCGACATTATACGACGTGTTCTTCGAAAATTGAAAACGCTACCTGCCGAAGTTCGGTAGGCGGATTCGAGGGCCGCCCGAATGCCACCACGACAACCCGAATATTTTTATTTATTTATTTTTTTTTTTTTTTTTTATAAATTATCACGAGCGAGAAATCCATGATATGAGTATCAACATATTATATTATACCTTTAAGTATTGTTTTAATATGTATTTTACATTTTGACTAATTGTACAGGACCAATTACAGGAAAAGTATAATATTTGCAATATCGCTAAAAACATGTTTAAATCAATGAACAATTGTATTTATTTTATTTGATTATTTAACGAGACGAAAAAACCAATAACAAAATAAACAATAGTTGAAATTGTAATATTTCATAAGATGTTTGTCAAAACAACAAACTATTTAGGTGTTCGTGAAGAATTAAAAATTACTAATTCCTATGGATCAACACTAACGGAAGATTTAACAAAACCGTTATAACTGCTATATGAAATATGTGTGCATTGAACGAGACACAACAGAAAAATTTAAAAAAATGTAGATTATATAGAAATGAGTAGTGTTTTAATTTTTTATTTGTAAATTTGTTTTGTTAAACAAAATGTGTGTTTTTTTTTTTTACTCAATATATTGTAATAAATAATTCCGTTTAAAAGAGGATTAAATTAATATTATAGTAGACTAGTATTATACGTAACATTTACAAATTGAACGCGTATTTTTAACAGTTAAAAAACGTGTACAATTTTGTAAATTTCGAAAATTGAAATCAATTAGAATTTTTTTTTTATCTTGTATAATTACAATGGTTATTAATGAAAACTGATTTTTTTTTTTTTTTTAAACATAATATTAACTGTCCGCCCTCGGAAAGTTTGAAAACGAAATGCGAAAATGTAATCGAATATTTATAACGGTCGAGTTTAAAGGCGAATGGCTGAGGGAAGAAGGGGGCTGGCGGCTAAAGACGAATGGTTCGTTTTGAGTTAATGTTTACCCGCAAAGTTTGGGAACCGCTGTTACGCGAACGAGAAGGGGGCGAGGAAGTTGAGAACGGGCAAACGGGCAAGTATTACGACTATAACGATAATATAATGCGGTGCTGTTGCGGCGGATACGCGAGAATCTGCATAACCGCCGCCGGCCGGACGAACTGCAGAAATCCGCTCCTGCGGACCGTCGTCGTCGGCAATATTCGTACTCGCGCACGTAGTATTATTTCGTACGCATTTAAATTCACTCGTATTATACGCGGTACGCATAATACACGTATATAGGTTGGACAAAAAGAAAAGAAAAGAAGATCTCTCTCCGTTGTGTATAATAATACAGCGAAACCTTGGCGGCTCGGAATTAATGTAATAATAAGTAACAGCAGAGCGTTTATCTCTCCGTCCCGGTCGCGGACGTCGCAAAAGTCGCTTAAGCAATCGCTATGTGACGTCGGTTGTGCTTCTTGCTGCGCGGTATTTGTGTTTTGTATTATTATTATTATTATTACGTATTTTTTTTTTTGCACTCATCCTTACTCAAATAGGAACGTCAAGGTCCCCCGCTCGCGCTTGTGTGTGTGTGTGTGTGTGTGTGTGTGTTGTACAGCGTGCTGCACAACGATAGTAATATAATGTCGTATGGCGTGCCGTGTCGCAGCCGAGGACCGTCGTCGTCGCGGTCAATATATCCGCAGTGTGCAATATAAATAGTCACTGGTGTTTAGTATAATATACGTAATATTATTTGCTTGAAAAAACACACACACGAGCAGCGCGCACTTCCGTCACCGGAATCGAATTTTTCCCCGGCCGACTTGGTCCGGTTATTCTCTGTGTTATTACACATTCGGTTTAGCGTTGTTAAACAGTTTTTACGAACGGTGATTTTCGGGATTTTCGACGACACGCGTACAAACGGACGGACTGCCCGGGAAGCATGTCAACACGTATCACTGCACAAATACTGTTAATATAGCGTACATTTTCATGTCGGGTACAGCGTATCATTCGACCGGGTCTGAAACCGGGTGTAGTGCGTTGAAATGCGTCCGGGAACGCTATACCAACGTCCCGAAATTTATCCGCCCCGATCGTTGAGTACGGACTCGCCTTAATCGATCTACTGGAAATTAATAAACGGTTTTTATGGGAAAGTTACAATATTCTCCGATACGCATCATCTGTGTACGATAGTATAATTCGATAAACGTCGTTGATTATTTATAATTAGCACTTTCTATAGACGCGGTGTTTTCTTTTTAAAAAATAATTAAACCCGCTCTATTTGAAACTCTATTCGAGTTTCTTTTTTCGCGATTGGAAATATTTCGATTTCTTTTTATTGACACTCACTTCAAGTCCCGAGTTTACGTTAAAATCCGTAAAAAAACGACGTTTTAATTTATTATTTTGTAGTATTACAAACATGAAAAACAGTATTGTCAATTTAAATGTATCAAAACGTGTTTAACGGGACATATTGACTCCGAGTCGTTTTTTTTATTTGCGACGATTAATCGTTGCGTACAGATACGAATTGACTTAATACCCTATACGCATGCACCCCATTACGAATTCCCGACTTGCAACAGCGGCTCGGCCGCGATGTGAAGTGTCGGTTTTTAGATTCTGAGTGGAGCGAAGAAGTTTATGGTTTTACAAAGATGTTTAATTTTTTTTTTTTTTATCTGTGCGCAACTTTTCTACCAGAAAACTTGCTCGGATTTCTAGGTGTAGCACTTTTCTGAAAGGAAACTGGCGTACAACATTAAAAAAATGTTATTAAAAAAAAAATGTATAAAGCCAATTTAATTATTATACTATAGAATGACATATATACATATATATTGTTGACAAAGCATCAATATCAACTGAACTCCGTTTAGAATAGTTTTATCGTAAGCAATGGTTTATCGTTAAATTTAATTTGATTGTACATTAAATTCCCATTTATATCCTACTTTTTCAACTTCCCACCTACATCGTTGGCTGCGTCCGTCCCCATTATCTTACCTTTCTTTTTTAGTTTTATTATCAAAATCATTCCGTAATACTTCATGTGTCCTTTTTTACCAGTCTACGCCCGACGGTGGTGTCGGGGGTAGGAATTTCGAACTTTCTAATGGCGCCGACTCGACAACACCTTCTATTTGTGTACATTTAAAGCTCGATATTTCCTGTAAACAGGCACGTGGCCGGATGGTGGGGTCCGTGGAGTCTCAACCCCCCCCCTCGTCTGAAATTTAAACTTCTCACCGAAAAACCATGCATGTTACATTGATTTTCTGCTCATTACGTTTTGATTTTTTTCCGCCCCGGACAATATTGTAGACACTATAAAAATCTCGCGACCACGTGCCCGTCTGCAGTGGATACGAGAGATACGAACGTATGTAAAAACGATCGAAAATCGAAATCACCAAAAGGCGCGTCCTCAACACTTGCGCCGCGCGCATACGAAATTCCAGTCGTCCTCTTTTTTTTTATTATTTCGGGGATTTATAGGTGTACCGTACGCTTACGAAGCTACAGAATAAAAAAAAAACAAAAACAAAACACCGGCTTCCCGGAGCACCGCGACGTCGTCGTGTATTGAAATATTCAACCGGGCTTTTAACGCGTAGTCGTCAGTGCAATAATCCGCCTGTACAAAACAACTCTGATGGCCGTCACTATTGTGAGCCCGTCACTCGGCGCTGCGGAACGATCCGTCGGAGACGTGTCCGAAAGTGACGGGGAAAACATAATTACGAGTGTATATATATTACAGTCTCGCTACATTATGTTGTCGGGGAGTACTGGACAAGAGGAGAGGAGGTAATAAATAAATAAATAAAAAAATAAACACAAATTACAAAAAAAAAACGTAGGTATGTATTTACAATATAACATAATATAGTAGGAAAGTTTATTTTTTTTTTTTTTTTTTAACAATTTCTCTGGTCATCGGAGAACCACACATATATTATATGCACACGTATATCGATAATGTTATCATAATACAAACGCGATATTATCTTATACGATATAATATATAAATATATAATATGGTACTTTAGCTAAAATTAACGGCCGGTATAATGTTTATAATAATAATAATAATACAAGTATAGGTAAAACGATATATTAAATTCGAAAAAAGTATACAATATTTAAAAGGTCTTTGATTTGTTTTTTTTTTTTTCAATTATCGTACTGTATGTGTGTGTGTGTTTTAAACGTTGATTGTTATTGTGTTTTGTACATAATACGAAAACCTTATGGTTTTTTTTTGTTTGGTTTTTTTTGTTTTTTTTGTTCATCTATGAATAATACATATACATATACTTGTAAAATACACATGATATGACGCGTACAAGTATATCGGTTTGGTTTCGAAAATTGTTGTTTAAAAAAATAAAATAAATTATAGCTAAAGGAACTAATCGACTTTTATTATTCTTTCTTTATAATATTATTAAGAATATTACATTATTATATTATATATATATATGTACCTAGTTTAATAATATACCACTACAGTTATATACTGCAATTATTGTATAGTATTATGTGTATAATTTAATATTATACATTATAATGTAATCGATAAATAAAATTAAAAAATAATGTATATTATAATATTGTTATGATTAATGTTAGTAAATGTATACTCGAAAAAATATAAAGTAAAAAAAAAAAAAAAAAAAAAAAAAAAAATACATAAAAATATAATAATGAAAAATATTAAACGTACGATAATATAATTATTACAATACGGTATTAATAATTGTCAGCGCAATAATTATTATCAAAAATACATAATACATAGAGAGTTAATAATACAATAAAATAAATTAAGTTCTTTCGGTTTTTTCCCGGTTCAAAAATACTCATCTCGTATTCGAAATGGATGCGAAAATAATATTACAGGACGGAGGCGCGGCGGCGTATAAGGGCGGGACCGGGGGCAAGGGTTCGGTTGTAGGCCTCCGCGAATAGTAATAAAAAAAAAAAAAAACAACAGCTTTGTGAGAAAAAAATTGGGTCTCCCCCCCCCCCCCCGTAGACTTAGTCCTGACGAATTTGTGAAAAAAGAAGACGTACGGTTCTAACGAAGTTACAGTTGTAGGCGGTTGACGGAGTCTTTGGGTTTTTGAAGGTGGACGTTTTGGCGTGACAATGCGCTAGCTCGGATATTGAAGGGAGAAAGGGGAGGGAGTAATAAATATTATCGTCGAAAAATTGCTTACGGATCTCCATACGCGTCGCGTATTGTGTTTCTATTGTAAAGTTTTTTTTTTTGGTTTTTTTTTTTGATTTTTTTTCACGAAAATCGTAACTCCTGTGCCTTCTCTGACCTTTTCCCGTGCGGCCCTCCGTCCCGTTTCGTCCTAAACGCGCCGCCCGCACCGACGAGCGTGTGTAATAATAGTTTATAATATTATAATAAATAGTGTGTAATCATATTTTTTTTTTTACGTTCGAAAATGTACTTGACGTATATACTATGTATATAGTAATAATAATAATGTGAAATATGTAAAATATTATGAAAACGAGTTCACCGCGAAATTATCGAAAAAAAAAATACAATAATAATAATAATAAAATAGGAAATACAAGGAAATAATAAAAAATTAAAAATTAAAAAAAAAAAACGTTTAAAGTAAAATGCGTTCGCGGCGTTTCGATAACAAAATAGTAGTATACAATAATATCAACACCGCGACTCGAGCGCGAAAACTCCGCGGACGTCGTAAATATATTGTGTCCCGCTGGTTTTGATACGCCGTTTAAAAAAAAAAAAAAAAAATAATAATAATAATAATAATAATAATAATGCATATTAGTGATGTCAGACATGTCCGGATACCAATGTAAATTCGGATGATCCGAATAATTCGAATGCCTTTGATTTGATCTGCAGTGGTGCAAATAGGGGACGTTCTTATCGGCCTCACAAAAATGGCATTTGTATCAGTAGTGCACAACGACATAATCACTCACAGATACCCGCGTTGTTTAAAATTAATAACGCAATTGTTGGACTATTATGAAACCGTTCGGATCATCCGGATTATCGGAATAATTCGGATTTCGAATAAACGGATATAGATATCCGGTTTATCCGGTTTATCCGAATCCGGATAGTTGACATCACCAACGCGCATGTAATATACACATTCGTTATGAATATGAATTTTTTTTTTTTTTTTTTGTAAAAGATTTTCGTTATTATACGTTTAATACGTATGTATAGGTAGTTTGCGATGCGAAAAATCGTTTTGAACGCTTATGAGATTTTTTTTTTTTTTTTTTTTTT